ATATTTCAAATATGACATTGAGAAGAAATTGAACTTTATTTGTTTATAGTCTGACAACAGATTTACTAAGTATTGCACAACAGCAAGAAATCTTTAATTGAATATAAATTCAATTCATATAACCAATTTCAAGCTCTTTGGCTACATTTATTCAGAAACCTATAATATGTAAAATATTTAATTACAATCCAAATTCAGACCTGTATCAAGCTTGAATATTGTGTCCATTTTTGCCCCAACTGTTCAGGGTTGGACCTCTGCGGGCGTATCCAGCTGTGCGCAGCGAAGCAGTTTATTTTATCTTGAAAATGGTCGCGATCCACACCCCTAAACCATATATATTCATGTATGGGACAATATAACAAATCAAATGAAATAAAGGGGGGAGTCCCTGGGGGTCAACCCCATCCCCTTCTGTTAGAACTTGTTAACGGTTGAGATCCCCACCCCTAAACCATACATAGTCTTGTATGGTACAATAAAACAAATAAAATGAAATATAGGTGGAGTCCACAGGGGGTCAACCCCACCCCTTCCTGTTTGTGAATTTTTGTTAATGGTCGAGATCCCTACCCCTAAACCATACATATTCTTGTATGGTACAATAAAACAAATGAAATGAAATATAGAGGAAGTCCACGGGGGTCAACTCCACCCCCTCCTGTTTGAGAACTTGTTAACGGTCGAAATCCCCACCCCTAAACTATACATATTCTAGTATGGAACAATAAAACAAATCAAATTAAATATAGGGGAGACCCTAGGGGTCACGCCATCCCCTCCTGTTTGAGAACTTGTAAACGGTTGAGATCCCCACCCCTACACCATATATATTCATATATGGGACAATAAAACAAATAAAATAAAATATAGGGGATTAGTCCATGGGGGTCACCCCACCCCTCTTCTTTTTGAAAATTTGCAAACGGTCGAGATCCCCACCCGGAAACCATATATATTCTTGTATGGGACATTAAAACGGATCAAATGAAATAAAGGGAGAGTCCCCTGGGGATCAACCCCACCTTTTGAGAACTTGAAAAAGGTCGAGATCCCCACCCCTAAACCATATATATTCCTGTTCGTCAACCCAATAATGTTTGAATGACATACAGGGTCAATCTCCTAGGCGTTACATATGCATATCACTTTACTTGACCAAACCAATTTGTACTGGACTCGGCCCAATGTCAGGCAACGAATTATCTGAGCTTTGTTTGGAGACTTCGTAACAGTATCCTGTTACAATTATTTCTTGTTAATTATAGAATTTAATTGATGCAAGAAATAAGTCTAGGTTGAATTTACTTTAATTATTTTTTTGAGTTATGTCTGGGCCTATAAAAATTTTCATTTAAGGCTCATTTTACAGGAAACATATTTAAGATAAATTAGAAATAACTTTTGAAAATGGTAGGATTGGATAGCGGAAACATTAAGGTACAAACATTTTTTTAACTTGAAATAGCTGAGATAAAAAATTAAACCAATTCTACAATATTAATCTTAATTTAAGCTTCTGCCACATTTGCCTTGGGGTTTTTATACGACCGCAAAAAAATTGTGTGGTCGTATATTGGTATGACGTTGGCGTCGTCGTCGTCGTCGTCGTCGTCCGGCGTCGTCGCCGTCGTCGTCCGAAGACACATTGGTTTTCGCACTCTAACTTTAGTTTAAGTGAATGGATCTCTATGAAATTTTACCATAAGGTTCAATACCACAAAAGGAAGTTGGGGATTGATTTTGGGGGTTATGGTACCAACAGTTAAGGAATTAGGGGCCAAAAAGGGGCCAAAAATAAGCATTTTCTAGTTTCCAGACAATAACTGTGGAACGGTGTATGGATCTCTCTGAAATTATACTACAAGTTTCCATACCACAAAGGGATGGTTAGGATTTGCTTTGGGGGGTTATTGCTCAAACCGTTAAGGAATTAGGGGCAAAAAAGGGGGAAAACAAGGTTGTCCTGGTTAATGGACAAATACTTTAGTACAAAACATAATTTAAAGCAGTGTAAGGGAGATAAATCAAATACATCATTGAAATTATCTCCCTTACACTGCTTTTAAATTATGTATAAAGTAATGGTTAATGAACAATTAAGATAATTTAAAACAGTGTAAGGGAGGTAATCCAAATACAACGTTTTGGTTACTTCCCTTACACTGCTTTTAAATTATGTTTAAAGAAATGCATATTTATAAAGGAAGACCAGTAAAAATATCTGCAAATGTTGCATCTTTTTTTTTTACAAAAAAATCCATATGAAAGATTTGACACTATATTTTAAATTCTATTATAAAAAAGATTAAGTTAGCACTATGGTAAATTTAAATGGGTAGTTATGGTTGCAAACATTAGTTTTCGCACTCTAACTTTAGTTTAAGTGAATGGATCTCTATGAAATTTTACCATAAGGTTCAATACCACAAAAGGAAGGTTGGGATTGATTTTGGGGGTAATTGCCTCCAAATTTTGGGAATTAGGGGCCAAAAAGGGGCAAAAAACAAGCATTTTTCTAGTTTCATGACAATAACTTGTGTGTAAGTGTATGGATCTCTCTGACATTGTACCACAAGGTTACATATCACAAAGGGAATGCTTGGATTGATTTTGGGGGTAATTGCCTCCAAATTTTAGGAATTAGGGGCCAAAAAGGGGCAAAAAAACTAGCATTTTTCTAGTTTCATGACAATAACTTGTGTGTAAGTGTATGGATCTTTATGAAATTGTACTACAATGTTCCATATCACAAAGGGAAAGCTGGAATTGAGTTTGGGGGTAATTGCCCAAAACGTTTAGGAATAAGGGGCCAAAAATAAGCATTTTTCTAGTTTCCAGACAATAACTTGTGTTCAAGTGTATGGATCTCTCTGAAATTGTACTGCAAGGTACCATACCACAAAGGGAAGGTTGGGATTGATTTTGGGGTAATTGCCTCAAAATTTTAGGAATTAGGGGCCAAAAAAGGGGCAAAAAACAAGCATTTTTCTAGTTTCAGGACAATAACTTGTGTGTAAATGTATTGATCTTTATGAAATTGTACTACAAGGTTCCATATCACAAAGGGAAAGCTGGGTTTGAGTTTGGGGGTAACTGCCCTAAACGTTTAGGAATTTTGGGCCAAAAAGGGGCCAAAAAACAAGCATTTTTCTAGTTTCCAGACAATAACTTGTGTTCAAGTGTATGGATCTCTCTGAAATTGTACTGCAAGGTACCATACCACAAAGGGAAGGCTGGGATTGAGTTTGGGAGTGATGAATCATAAGGGGGTTCAAAAAATTTGGGGGGGGGGGATTTTGTTTTCTTTAAAATTTTCCATTTTAAATTGGTTATTTCTGATTTATATATAAAAGCAAATAATAATGATATGGTTTGAATTGGTAAATTAAAAAATTTTAAGTTCTTAGACCACATTCATTCTGTGTCAGAAACCTATGCTGTGTCAAATATATAATTACAATCCAAATTCAGTGCTGTATCAAGCTTGAATGTTGGGTCCATACTTGCCCCAACTGTTCAGGGTTCGACCTCTGCGGTCGTATCAAGCTGCGCCCCAGCGGAGCATTTTATTTAATTAACTGCCCATAGCGCCCTTGGTGCTTTGATTTACTTATATATATATATCTAACGACAAAACATTTTCATATTATTAATTTATGTTCTAAACAAAAATATTGTTATCAGTATTCATTGAAGAGATGTATTTATAACAAACGATAAGGAATGTTATTTTGCACTCTTTAATATCCGCGTATTTATCATGTTTATAGATCGGTTACAAACCCAAAACGTAAGTTACGTAATGGAAATCTAGGCGACGGATAGCAATACATAGGAATGCCCTCACGGTCATCGCGATGTAAAAATGGAGTGCCTCAAGGACCCTTTTATGTCGTCTATTATTTTTTACTTAAATAAATGATTTACCATTTCATTTTAAAAATTCATATGTAGATTATATCCTGATGAATTAGCATTGCATATTTATGATGAAAACATTGAAGATATTAACAACACACTGCAAAATGATTTGGAATCATGGTACAACAGTATGAAAATAAATGCACAGCGACTTATTTCATAAAAAAAATTACGAGAAAAAATTACAAAAACATTTCAGTACAACTGACGATCAATTTTTATCGTTAGAGTTTTGGTTAAAAGAGCACCAGAAAACAAAGTGTATGAAACATATCTCGAAACAAAAACTTACAAAACCATACAAGAATTGTTTATTACCACAAATGAAATTTGTATTAGGAATGTTTTTCTTTGAAATTACTTGGAATTGACATTGATGCATATTTAAGCTGGGGAAGAACAAGTTGGTCGTAATTGTAAGATTTTCTCATAAAAATACCACTTTTGTATAAATTTGAAGAATATTTTATTAAGGCAACTCGTTAATATACATGTTGTACCTTTATTTTATCATATATAGGTTATTGTGGTTCAGTTTTGGTGAATGTTTCCTAAAATAGTTTCGATAGAATTACAAAACCCTAGAAAAGAGCAGCATCTGAGAAATTGGCCATATTACTTTTCTGGAAGTTCAAAAGTCATAACTATGAAGGAATTTATATCATCTCCAATTCTTTTTTTATCATCTTGGCTCAGTGTTTCGTACAAAGCAGTGTTAACATTCATACACGTTTTGAATCTCGACCTGAATATGAACGTTAAACTTTCCACTGGACGTTTTAAATTGTCAATCATTTTTATTTTAGATGATTATGGCGTAAAAAATATTACTTATGTATAAACGTAGAACTTTTGCATATACACATATGGCAACTCTTTTAATACCTATATTCTACCATACATAGGCTATTGTAGTTGAGTTTGGGGGAATGTATGTTAAGGCGTACCCTAAACTAAAACATGGACTTTGTCCTTTGTAACACTTTTTTGTTTGTGTCATTCAAAGATCAGCTGCGATGACAAACATATCTTTTATTGATGACTCGCATCCAAGTTTAATTTTTTTTTAATTTCAGAATTACAATCATGATTATCTTCGACGTCGATGAAAACAACTTGGCAATCTGTGCCATAATAACTGTCGTGATGCAGTTCGTGTTCTTCTTGATTGCATGTACATGTAAATTTGACAAAGTTACAGATTTTGCTGGTGGAACAAATTTTGTTGTTTTAGCGGTGTTTACATTTTGTCTAGCAACAGTAAGTTAACATTATTGCTAATAGTAATCATGTTTAAGTAGTTAATTTTATGAACTTCACTGCTCATTGAGCTTGTTTACATTACTTTTCTATTTCGCCCATGTAAGTTCAGTATTTATTTAGTACTAAGTCAGTGATACATGAAATGTAGACCACTGAGAGACATAATTTTGGTTGAATACCGTTATAGAATCCACTATATCCGTGTGTGTAAATTTGATTTCAATTTCCTTCAAATGCAGTCCCGATGACATTCATTTCTTGACTCCTTCTCACAAGATACATGTTAATTCCGTAATAGTTGAATGACTTTAATCACTAAATTAGGTTACAGAAGCAATTTGCTATTGTAATCGCAAACTACCTTTGCTAGGTTTTTTTTATTTTTTTCAATAGAATGGTGAATTTTTATATATAAAATCAAATGTGTATCATTTAATTTGCAGACATGGAATTGGCGTCAAATTATGCTTACGGCATTTATAGTAATTTGGGGTTTACGATTGTCTGGTTATCTACTATACAGAATTATAAAAATTGGAGAAGATAAAAGATTTGATGACAAAAGAGAAAACTGTCTAGCTTTTGCGGGATTTTGGACTTTCCAGGTACTAAATGAACCATGTAGTTGTTCACAGCCTATGACAGGCTATCGGTACTGCAGATGTTTTAGGTACCACGGATCAAACTCGGCTGTACTTGATAGCAAAAGCAGTTGTATTTCAATAGCATTCGGAACAGCAGACAAAAACCTACTATACCCGATAGCAAAAACAATGTTTTTATTGCAATCGGAACACATATAATATTGTATCTGCCGTAATGATACATGTAGCCGGTATTAGAAGTTTGTTTGAATCAAGTTAGATTTTCACTTTGGCACCTGGGCAGTGTAATAGATTATATAAAGGGCCTATATAATTTCCTTTTATTTATTTCTACAAAAGAATCAACATGATTCTTGATAGGAGTAGTAGAACTTTGAGTGTTTTTAATTAATTATAACATTTTAAGAACAATACAATTACGATACTGTTATACACCTGTCTGTCTGTCCGTCACATGAAACTTCCGTTGCATATTCCTCAGAAACTACGAATCAGAGCTTCTTAAAATTCGAGATCAGGCTTTATGTTAGCACGCGTTTTCAGATTCATTTCTCATCATCTCTTTACCAAATACTTGTATTTTCTAACACATAGTGGCCATGTATGAAATTTTCGATCGTATTTTTCTAGGGAACTATAAATAAGAGCTTCCTTATAAATGTGTTATCAGGCCTCATGTGAATATGCTATACTGTGTGATGCTTTTGCTCTTCATTTTTTGATTTACCAAATAATAAAAGCGGTGGTTTCATAAGTGAGAAAAAATAACTCGATTTAGTTCCTTTCCTTGTACGCGAAAATTCACAAAAAAAAAGTGTACCGAGGAATGTCATTTTATGCTGTTTATGTGTTTTAGTTTTTTTTGTAACTTTTCCGCGTGCTTAAGAATAAGTTGAAAGTGTAGCCTGACAGAATGTGTTATTGCGCTTTGCACCGTGTTTCAAAATCATTAAGATGCCGACTAACGCATGCATATTCAAGTATTAAAAAAAAACACACACACTTGACAATCTGGCAAAGAAATTGACTGGACCTTAAATAATCTCGACACAATAAATGTACTGTATAAAGAATTAATAGTATTCAATATCTTCCAGGCAGTTTGGGTGTTCACAGTAAGTTTACCAGTTATCTTTGTAAATGCACCAGCTAGTGCAACTAAGTTAAATCCAGATGACAATTGGACCCCACAAGATATAGTTGGCGGTATCTTCTTTATTGTAGGATTGTTATGTGAAGCTTTTGCTGATATACAGAAGTTTAATTTTCGTAACAATCCTATAAACAAAGGAAAATGGTGCGATACTGGTAAATATATTATAAGTAGATAATGACATGATGAAATTCTTTTAATTTTGTGAGAGCACTTATGTGAAGGGAGAAATCATTGAAAGATTACTGTCATTAAAACTGTTAACATTAAAGTTTGAATGGAAGTTATCACCATGAATTCATCAATTTCTTTGGCAGAATTATTCATTGAGTAAATTGAAACTGTTTATATATTAGTAAACACTTGAATGGCAACATTTCTGTAATGTTTAGTGTGACATATTTTTAACAGAAGGTTGATATTTCAATGGGAAACAACCGCACTTTTGTTCTTGCCCGACTTGTCCTTTAATCATATATGTGTGAGTCAGACTTCGACAATGGTTGCCTTTTTTCATGACTTAATGTTTTTGTTATTTGCGGATTTTATGTTGAAAGTAGATGTTTGATATTCTCAGTAAAACTTTTTCAACTCAGGCCGATAAAGAACTTGGCATATTGTACCTGTCTAATACTGAAGACGGCTGTATGTTGTTCTACTGCCTACTGATTGTTTTTGTCCTTCGATTGCTGTCTAGATGAAGTATACTCCATGTGTTATCTTATTCATAATCAAACAAGGCTTCGCAAGATGAATGAAACAAAGCTAGCATTATCCTTCAGTTCGATCTTCTGCCGTATAAATAATGTCCACTCCTTAAATAAATCAAAAGTGTAATGCCTATCATGAAAGTATCTATCCTAATCATCTTGAGATCCTGGTTTGTGACTATCGACAAATGTGATATATGACCAGACTGTAACCTGTCTTGAACGACAAGACGGGTTGCACCAGTGGAACAGGAAAGAATTCCCCTAAAAAGCTATTGGGTTCACCATCGTTTGTTTTGTGTGTTCAAGCTGTCCAAATTTTAGGTTCACCATCTTTTGTTTTGTGTGTTCGTGTTGTCCAATTTTTAGGCCGCAGTGTTTTCTTTTAATATTCGACTTCTGATTCTGATATGATTCCCAATTAGTATCTTCTTATCGCTCGAGGAGAGGGATCTCTTTAGTACCTTATGGATTGTTGTTAGTCTTTCCGTCCTTTATTCCTTTTGGTCATGGTGCTGTCTGTCTTTATTTGCCTCTTTTTATTTTCTAACTTATAAAAAATCTTTGTATGGAGATATAATAATAGAAATATTTCAACGAAAACTGATTTTAAAGAAAACTGCATGTCTATTTTGAATTGTGCTCTTTTCAGTAAAAAAATATACTGTCCATAAAATGTGTACAATGGACTACAATTTCCCCCCTATGCTATCTAAATAAAATGGGAAAAAATACTATTTTTTTTAATTCCAAGATGTTTATTCCCTTGCAGAATGGATTACATTGATTACAATTGATTTACAATTCCAACATGTTCAATAACTGCAAATATATATTTCGAAATAAATATCGATTTACATGTGTATGGATATTTTGCGGATTCCAAGCTGCAACCTCTTCCGAAAATAGGACAAGAAAATTTACGACAGCTTTTTTAATTTCTTTTGTATCAGGTAAAAAACTTTGAACTGACATTGAAATTTCATTCTGCAGACGCTTGAAAAAAAAAAAGTCATCCTTTGAGCAAAGGTTATATCCATTGTGTGTTTATTGTTTCTTTTGTGTATGTGTTCAGGTGCTTTTAGTTTAGCTTTAATTTCAGGTTTGTGGAAATACAGCAGACATCCTAACTATTTTGGAGAAATAGTAATCTGGTGGGGAGTATTTATCATTAGTACAAGTGTACTAACATATGGTCAGTGGGCTGCGATATTAAGCCCACTTTTCACAATGACCATACTGTTATTCCTTAGTGGAATACCTCTTTTGGAAAAGAAGTCGGATGAACGGTATAGAAAGTAAGTAAAGATTTCAAAGTTAAATATTTCACAAACACGTGTGGAAGGCAAGGAAATCATATTATTTGTTTTTAAACGGATTAATCGTGTCAACTGTATGAAACAATATAAACTATGGAGATGTGGTATGATTGCCAATAAGACAAGTACCGTTTCGACTGGACCAGATCACCACCTTACCTCAGAATTCTTGACCTAATTCATTTTTACAGTGTGATATTCATTTTTGCTTGCTGTTTAGTACATTGAATTACGTTTGTTTCGGGATGGTTTCCCACTATGAATTGTAAATATTTATAAAGGTGAAAAATAGCCATATTAGTACATATGTATTTGTCCCTTCAAACACTAGTATTTTGAACCATTGGAATAAAAATTTGCATTTGAAGTGAACATGTTATTTTCTTATTGTTGAATGAGATAATACCATTATAACGTTTTGATCTAATTCTGTGTATGTTATCACACGATTCCATCTTAAATTTGTCATGTATGTAAATTTGTATCTTTCTTTTACTGAATAATTGTTTTCTTTTAATTACAGAAATGAGTCATATATTGAATACAAGAACCGAACAAGTCCTTTAGTGCCTTCACCTCAGTCATGCTATGGAGCGTGTCCGAATTTTCTGAAATGTCTTTGTTGTTGTGAGTTTCCGTTATATGACCACATGAATGAAGAAAATGAGAAAATTGAAATCAAATCTGATAACATAGAACCAGATTCCATTGAAATCAAGACTTGATAATGGCCAAAACTTCGTTTATTGTGCCAGTAAGTACCTGGAATTAGAGTTGAAACATGCCGAAGGACAAATATTCCTATTATGGGGAGCATATGCGAACAACGATCATTTATTAACTACTATACATATTTTTATAAAACATTTGTAGTGCCATTTGGATGTTATCAGTTCTTAGAACAAGTTGAGAGTTATAATTAAATATATGTAACTTCATTATTTAAGCATATTAACTTCTTTCATTGCATTTTTGCATTAGTATGTGTACATATATATATCTCCAACGTGAAGCTTATAAGAAAGTTTGGTTATGTAGTGGTGACTAGCTCAACGCAAGATAATGTGTGTTTTGTTAAGAGAGTTCACTGCATGCGTTGCAACCTCCATTTCATTATCATTTCTAATATAATTCACTGCATGCGTTGCAACCTCCATTTCATTATCATTTCTAATATAATAAGTCTAGTACTGGTGATGTCTGTTCTTTTCAGTTATGGCTGTTGATTGCTCTCTTGATATATCCTTTCTTTTTTGCATTTTATTAAATGGACAATATTAGAAAGTACAAGGGTGTCTTGTTGACTAACATATTTTTGTCTCGCCTTGACGGAGTCAAAAAGCGAGACATAGGTATGCTGTTTCCGGCGTCGGCGGTGGCGGAGTCAACAATGTATTAGTTTGTGATTAGGTCTAGTTTATGGTGAACCACTAGTGGTAGGTCAATGATATTTGGTATGCAGTTGTATTAGCATTGGCACATCTCATTACCATGGAGATTATTTTGCCCCGCCCCCTCAGTCATGGTTTATTGACATTGAAACTTTGCTTAGTTTACATGTATTAGTTTGTGATTAGGTCAGTTTATGGGGAACCACTAGTGGTAGGTCAATGATATTTGGTATGCAGTTGTATAAGCATTAACATATCTCATTTCCATGGAGATTATATTGCCCTGCCCCTTCAGTCATAGTCTATTGACTTTCAAACCTTTGCTTAGTTTACAAGTTAATGTTTGTGTTTAGGTTTCTTTAAAATGAACGAATTATTAAAAGTCAATGGTATTTGGTATGCAGTTGTATTAGCATTGGCACATCTCATTTCCATTGAGATTGTTTAGCCCTGTAACTTTAGTCATGGTTCATTGACTTTGAATATTTTCATAACTTTCATGTTAAAGTATTGTTATTTTAATTTCAACATTTGCATTATCAAAATAACAAATAGGCAAGACATATCTCTGTGTTAACAATTTATTATATAATAATATGCAATTTAAGCACATGGTTTCTTTTTATGATGATCAATGCATCTTGTAATTTGCTACTGGTCCATTATAGTGATAGAGTATGGAGACCCAAGTAGAGAATAGAAATGATTAATTGTCATTATAGGAATACACAATACTCAGATAAAATGAAGTAAAACGAAACTGTCTTTCTCAATACACAAATAAGGTTGAACACACTAAATTACTGCGATAGTAGTTTACCAATGCTCAAGTCTTTGTAATCGATTAAGAAGAGCCTATCAATATAACAAACAAAAACTGAAGGTATCGGATGAACTCCATAAGGAGCAAGTTCGGGTGCCTCGATAGGGTTAGCCTCTACTGCTATGCATGCATCAACCGCCATTCGAATCAACACTCACTCAAAATGTCACAATCGGTAGTATTACAAATCAAACGACTTTAGTAGTATTTAAAGATATTAGACCGCAAAAACTTGTCGCTACTTTGTTAAGACACCGACACAACGTTTTGGTCAACCAATTTGTGATGGTGTCCGTAAAACTTGTGTTGTGTCGAATTCAATCATTCTTCAACATATCTCCTGTATAAGTAGTTTTTGTGTAAGAGGACACCCACTCGTGCACGAGCGTAACGAATTATCTAATATTTATTTATAAAAACTCCATACAACGGAGCATAGGGTATGTTTCTGTTGAGAGATGGGAAGTTGAAATCATCACGTTTGTCATGGATTCTAGTTTGAAGTCGTCCATATTTGTCAATATCTTGGAAAAGATTAAGATATGAAGCATACCTTCTACGGTAGTATCCTTAACATCAAGTTCACTGGGATATATGAGATGTAAGCACTCATTGAAATGTGGGTTATTGATTAACAAGACATCGTTAATATATCTGAAAGTGAAATTAATTAACTTTGCAAGATATTTGTTATCTTTTAATACGCCCGTTTACGGGACGTATTATGGTATATCGTTGTCCGTCCGTCCGTCGTCAACATGTCGGACATTAACTCAAAAACGCTTGAACCAATTTGCATAAAACTTTGGTGAATTGTTTATATATATTGACGTGAGCTCCCTTTCGTTTTTTATAAATTTTAGATTTTACGTTTCCGAGTTATGGGGTTTTATTCATTAAAAAAGGGGGATTTTCCAGTTTTTGGACAATAACTCAAGAATGCTTTCACCAACTTGCAAGAAATTGTGGTGAATTGTTAATATCTATTGACATGAGCTCCCTTTCGATTTTTAAATATTTTAGATTTTACGTTTCCGAGTTACAGGGTTTTATTCATAAAAAAGGGGGGATTTTCCAGTTTTCGGACAAAAAATCAAAAATGCTTTCAGCAGTTCTTATGAAACTTTGGTGAATTGTTTATATCTATTGATGTAAGCTCCGTTTAGAATTTTATAAATTTTACATTTTATATTTCTGAGTTATGGGGTTTTATTCATTAAAAAAGGGGGGATTTTCCAGTTTTCGGACAATAACTTAAAAATGCTGTCAGCAATTCTCATGAAACTTTGGTGAATTGTTTATATTTATTGATTTACATTTTCATAAATTTCTAATATGACATTGAGAATTAATTGAACTTTAATTGTTTATAGTCTGACAGCATATTTACTAAGTATTGCGCAACAGCACAGTGTATTGCACAACAGCAAGAAATCTTTAATTGAATATAAATTCAATTCATATAACCAATTTCAAGTTATTTGACTACATTTATTCAGAAACCTATAATATGTCAAATATTTAATACAATCCAAATTCAGACCTGTATCAAGCTTGAATATTGTGTCCATTTTTGCCCCAACTGTTCAGGGTTGGACCTCTGCGGGCGTATCCAGCTGCGCTCAGCGAAGCAGTTTATTGTCTTTGAGAATGTTGTGTATGAATTCTGCTACAGATAGTATATAAACTATCTACCAGTAGCGTTGCACATTTGTACCCATTGGAATACCGACTGACTGCTGAAATTTCAATCCACCGAACTCAACAAATTTTATGTGGATAAAAAAAAATCGCATTTTAATTATATTATATTCCTTGTATTCATTATATGAACCAGTTTGGTTTTTCACAAAGCAATATGATGTGTACCTACGTTCAATGAGATGATATAGTCGATATGTCAATTGAGCATGGGGAATAGTAGTGTAAAAACGTTATTTAAGATAATAAAAAAAAACTGCTGAAAAGAGTCTACATATAATTTATAACAATTTTAGCTATTTGAATTATTCATAGATCTTGTCCTTCTGATTATGTTCAATAAAGTTTCTCTTGTCTAATATTGTTCTTAGATAAAACAAAAAGCTAGTAAAAATCGTCATTTAGGAGCATTTAATCCTATAAGGTGTCGGCTGACAATGTCGGGTAGTTGACTAATTTGTAAATCTGATCTAGCTGATTATTTTTCCGTTATGTAGTTTCTATCTATATTATTTTTTTAAAAACTTTGAAAAAATTGTCATTTTAGGGCAATACTTACTGTAAGACATCATCTGACAATTTTGGTTAAATAAACCTTCAAAGATACCAGGCATATAATTCTATACGCCAGTCTACAAAAGACTAACAAAGTTGAAAGATCAAATCAAGAACGAAGTTTGAAGAGCAATGAGAACCCAAAATTTCGAAAGGTTTTGCCAAAAACATCTGAGGTAATATATTCACGGAGTAGAAAATCTTAAGTATTTCGAACAATTCAAAGTTTTGAAAACAGTTTATTTTTAAATATGACCATATCATTGATATTTCACGTCAACACAAAAGTGCTGACTACCGGGCTGGTAATTCCCTCGGAGATAACCTCAACCTGCCCTTGTAAAAATCAGGCATGTGTATTCTTAACATTTTTGCCTTGTCATATTTTCTTTATCTATAAAGTTTTCAAAATAATACAAAACACTTGCATTTTTACCATTTACTTTTTAAGCCTTATGGCCGTGAAAGTTGGCCGACAGGATCATGAGACACTAAAAGCTTTTTAGATACGCCAATGATGATTGTGGTCAAGTTTGGTTTTTTATGTACAGTAGTTTCAGAGAAGAAGATTTTAAATAGAAGTGAATGGGCGACTATAAACGCCACATGATATCAAAAAGCTTGCACTGGTCTTTCGGCAAGGTGAGCTAAAACAACGACTGTCCCAGATATTCTCTCGAATGACATTATTTCTAGTTATCTATGCCAAGAGGAATGGGAGTAATAATATTAATAATAATAATGATAATAATACATTCAGTATCACATACAAACTTCCATATTTTTGTCGAGCCTGCGACAGCGAGACATAGCGATCCTAGATTCCGTCGTCGGCGTCAACATTTAGGTTCAGTCAGTGGTTCAAGTTTTTTAGACTTTGTCAAACCTTCATGGAATTTTATGAAATTTGGACAGAAGCTTGTAAATGACCAAAATACAGTATCCAGAGCAAAATTTTTAAAATATTTATTTTCATTTTTCCGTATTTTACTGATAAATGGACTTAGTTATTTTTACAGCTCACAAGTAGATACAGTCTAGGGTTAAATAAAGGCAACAGTAGTATACCGTTGTTCAAAAGTCATAAATCGATTGAGAGAAAGCAAATCAGGGTTACAAACTAAAACCGAGTGAAACACATCAACTATAAGAGGAAAACAAAGCAACAACATGAACACTGGAGTGCAACAAAAACAAACGCCAACATACATAGAAACGAACTATTTGATAACAACTGCCATATTCCTGACTTGATACAGGACATTTTAAGTAAAAATGGTGGGTTGAACCTGGTTTAATGGCTAGCCAAACCTCCCGCTTTATGACAATATAAAAAATATCGCTAAAATGACAACACTACGTGACAGAAATACAGCACAAACGCACGTAAGAACTTTCATCACAGAGAAACGCACAAAGAAGTAATATGACAGTCGACAGAACATGCAAACCACAGAACAACAACGAACAT